AATTTGAACAATTTGAGTTTGCAATTGAGTTTTATCGTACGAAATATATAGCTATAGCGTGTTAGGGACAGAGTGGAACAACTGGTACATGTATAGTATACGGTACATTGTCAGTGTAATTATTAACTTTTGTAATGTTTTGATTGTAGTGTGTGTAAAAGCAGTAAGTCGGTGCATTTCTGCATCGGGTTTTATCTGTATAAAACCCGGCTTTCCTAGGGTTTTATCTATATAAAGCCGGGTTTTATATACAGGGTGTCTCAAAAAAACCCAAAATCATTGAAATTGACGTATTGTTCGATATTCAATGCCCTAGCACTAAGTTAATCCCACGAGTGCATAAAAGATTGACATAACTGCTATAATGAATGGTAATACTCAACGTAAACTTGTTATGTCAGGCATAAAGTACTAAACCCACGAATGCATATTACGCATATTACAATTTACGAAGCATTTTTAAATTCCCATGAGCAAACGTAAACGTTCACTTTACAAAGATATTTTAATTTTTTAAAACAAATTAATCACCCTGTCAAAATCCTTTGTGTTACGGCATTGAAATTCGAACAATACGTTATTTCAATGATTTTGGTTTTTTTTGAGACACCCTGTAGATAAAACCCGTGAATTTATAATTATTAATTCAATTCTATTCATCAACCCCACTTTTCCCTGGAGAGATATCAAATCCCTCCCCTTGCTTTAAGAATCTTACCCAAATAAAACCCTGTTGAGAACAATAGAAATCCGCACAAATTTGAACTAAGTAAGAGTTAATTACCGAGAACGAGGTTTCTTAGCGAGATACAACCCGAGGGGCGTGTCCCGAAGAAAGCACGCGCTCGGGTTCGGCCCTCGGGATGCTTTCTTCGGGACACGCCCCTCGGGTTGTATCTCGCTAAGAAACCTCGTTCTCGGTAATTAACTCTTACTTAATTGCAATTGGAACGTAGGTCAAATCATAAAACCAATGTCGAGCGACACAACCGCACGATTCACAGAAGATGAGGAGATAAATGAACAGAGTTGCAAGACCATAGCAACAAAACATGGCAACAAGGACCACCAGGAACATTTTGGTGATTTTTTCTTCCAGTTTATTTGTGGTTGTGATGATGTGGTTGTTTGGTGCTGTTGACGAGCTTTGAGACTTTTCACATTGTGGTAAAGCTATGCCTCCGTCATGACTGGTTATTGTCTGAGAATGTCTTTTGATTTTTTGCCACATTAACGTGTATATGAAGCACGTTACTGGAATTGCCAAAACGACCGACGCGTTGGCGAAGACGAATGAGTATAGAATGTATCCAACTTCAAAGATCAACCAAAGATCAACCAAATTACAGCGACTGTGAATACAATTCGTTTATTAGTTATTTTGTTACGGTATGTGGTAGGTTTTCGCACTGCCAGGTATCGCTCAACAGCCAAACTTGCAACGCTTAGAGATGAAGCCGTACATGAAATGAAGTAACTCACATTAAGCACATTCACTTCCGCATCAGTAATTTTCTTGCCAAGGCAAAGTTTGAAATGAATACTCGCTGAGAGAGGGTCTGTGATGGTTCCAGCAATTAGATCAGCTGCTGCCAAATTTACTATTAACCAATTAAACGGCGTTCGAAGATTCTTATTCGGATCCAACGCAACAGCTAGAATTATGAGGATATTTCCAAGAATACTTACGAAAGTCAGGATAAGGAAAATGCCTGTTGTTAGAACCGATAACGCCAGTGGAGCTTCAGAGAATGGACAATTTTTTTCAAATTGACCATTGGCTAACTGCATTGTCCTGCAAAATATTGATAATTACAGCATGCATTAGGTATAGGATAAACACCGAGAAGGAGGGACTTATGTCAGATAATGACCCGAGGACGCGCAGCGTCCGAGGGCATTATCTGACATAAGTCCCTCCTTCTCGGTGTTTATCTTATTTAATTCTTAATTGAGGAGGTTTTCCAACAAAGTTTTGTTTGTTTCGTCTGCTTTGAACGACGATTTTCTGAGTTTTCCTTCATCTTTTTAGCTAATTAATATTCAAGGTTATTATTAAAAATAATCACCTTGGTACATGAAAGAAAATCGACTCAATTAAGAATTAATATCTGAAAAGCTTTCGTCCGCTATATATTTTGATTAAAGTAAATAAATACAATGCATGGGTCAGTCAAAGCGCTGATTTGGAAAACACTTTACGACGGTCATTGCTTTAAACAATGAAAAATTAACATAGCAAAGGTTAACCTGCTGCACGCGAAAATGTCTACATATTTTGAGAAAAATATGGCCCGGCCATCACTCTGCTTGGTTGGATGGATAAATAGTAAAACAAACGCAGTATAACGTTTGTAACAATATATTTGTAAATGATAACATTGAATTACAAGTTAACTATAATCATGACTATTAAGACTATAGTCATGTCTATTAAGATCATAGTCATGACTATCAAGACGATATGTTTATTATGGATAGAGAGAGACTATTTGTTAGGCAAGCGTATAGGCCTTAAATAGGGCGGCAGCGTAGCATTGCGGGCATAAGAATTTAGTTTTAAAACAAGAATTGGCACACGAATTTAGTTTTAAAACACATTTATTTCGTTAAAACGTACGCGCGTTTTCAGAGGTACGCTTCGAATATATATCTCACTTATTTGAGACATTTCGCTAACCGATTCATCATAGTCACTGCTCTCAAAATGCTGGAAACCTGGTTTTGTGTAATATAAACTATGTCGTTTAGTTGAAAAAAAACAATCTTAAGATTCAATGATTCCATAGGCATGATTCCATTCAATTATTACTAGTAAACAGTGATAGCAATTGAAGAAATGCATGTATTGTTTGACGCCCACTCGCTCACGTTTCCGATCGTAACATTTAAGCAACCCATTTTTCGAAATTTGTCAGCCACCTGATGATTCTTCTTGGATGAAACAGGCTGTTGTGGCAACCTTTTGAGGTAAAACGACTATTTCTGCTCTATCTATATAATATCGAGCACTCTTTATCATGTCGTGAAACAAACCACATTCGTATATGTATGAGGGGTGAGGTGAAATCAGTTTTATCGCTTGAGGGACGATATCATAAATGTGCCTCGTTTGCTGCGTTCACTCGTGACGTAACGTGAACAACGAGAGCGAGTGTTTCACCGGGATATCCAAACACGAGAAAACAATGTATGAAAATAAGAGCGCGAAGAGCGCGAGTGTTTTCATACATTGTTTTCGAGTGTTTGGATATCCCGGTGAGACACGAGCTCGAGTTGTTTATATGGCTTCTCAAATGAATCGAGACGTAACAGAATGTTTTCGTTTGCTGATTTGAATAGAATTCTTAACCAAGCATAACGTAATTAGGAATTCTATTCAAGTAATTTTGCATGCGTAATTAAGATATTTGATGAAAACACTAGTGACTTTCATCAAATACCTTAATCCCCGAGCCGGCGGCGCGATGTGAAAATATAGCGGAGTGTAAAGTAGTCCTCCATTTTGTTTATGTAATGACGGTTTTCCACGTTATGCGCATGCGTGAGTACAAATTCTGTCGAAGTAATTGTTTTTCATTTTGATAGGACGTATTTTGCTGTTTTACAGCAATTTTGTGTTTTAAATTTCGTTAAAAAGTTTGCAAAAGTACAACACGGTTTTTCCCCTCGATTTTAACTGGAAATAAGCCTGCAATTTATGAATTAGTGGCTATTCAACCGTGAAACAAAGTTTGTATAATTGTTTTGCCTCAATTGTTTTGATGTTTTGATGTTGATGTCTTTGATTTATTAGCCCGCGTGCAGGCCCAAGGGAACTGATAGTGGGTGGGCCTGCAAGCAAGGCCCTGTATTTTGTACTTTCCGCGTTCGCCCACGAACGCGGCATTCTGATTGGCTGTTTGCTGTTGGATTCTATAATTAGATCAGTGATTCATCACAAAGGCTCTCGATAAGCTTAAAATTCGAAAATTGATCGCTTTTTTCGATTATAAATGGAACAAGAACAGACTGTTTATTGTTTACTTGAAGGAAGAGATGTTTTTGGCGTTATGCCAATGGGGATTGCTTGTCGTGAGGTGTTGGAATAGCAACATTACGATTTACGACTGGGGTAAACTATAGTAACCTTTACTTGAGCTTCATTAATTTCAAACAGACTTGATACGTTATATGTTCCTCAAGAAAATTATCATTTGGTTGTTCTTGCACTGAAGAAAACGCGGTGAAGATTTAGAGGCAGTTGCATGTAAGCCTATTCGAAACACTTTGCGATTTTCAAGGCTTCGCTGAGAGAGCGAAACAGAAGACGGTATTAAATTGCCGTTTGAAACGATCTGGACTCAGAACGCTCTCTTCTTTTGTAGAGTTTTTTACCAAATGAAATAACTGAAATAAATTTCGTACTTTCCGCCGCCAACAAGAATTGCACACACGATCAGTGATAAGTGAGACAATTTATTTATAACAATGGCGACAGCGAAGCACACATTATAAATGCTATTTATGTACAGTAGTCCCACGACTTCCCTCACGATATTTTGGAGTTTGAGACTAGTTTTCTGTTGAAATTCGTCCTAATTTGCCTGTTCCGATTTTAGTTGAAAATGAGCACTTGCAAATTTGGCAATTACTGACTGCGTTGCTTGCTTTTTACTCCGGGTACTGTAAGTACCGGAGTATTAAAATGTCAGATCTTTTTTCTTAGGCGACACAAGTGTGCACTTCCACAGGTGCACCGTACGCAACGCACGCAACGCACTACAAAAATACGAAATATCTAAAAATAGCCGCCATTCGTAGTAGATCGGAGCGAGCGTTGTGTTTACAATGTATTTAGTTCTATTTACAGTAATTATTATCAAATGCAGGGGTTCTCATACACTCGTTTTTATACAGTGACCACAGTTCATATAAATACAAATCGAAATTCGAGACTTTCTCGCGTGTTTAGTAGCGGTTGCCGTTATTGCAAAGCTAATTCTGATCAACAACTGGCTTGGTTCGTTACTGACGTTAGCCCGGTATTTTTTAATTTTGTCAACACTGTATGTAGTTAAATTGTGTTAACACCCGTCACTCGTGTTCTTTAAGTCTCCCTTTGTGCCTCATGGCCAAAATCGAAGTACAAACAACGCACAAATCTATTCGACATATGACTATCTGGAAGTCTTCGATTCGCGAGGCAATTTATATCGCAAACCACAACAATATTGGCAATATTGTCTACCACGCTTGAATTAGACAAAAGCGCATATAAAATATATGTAACTAGATAGCTTTACCCAACACTAGTACGTCTATTACTCAGTTTAATGTTTTATTTATAGAGTATTAAAAATCGGTCTTGACAGCTGCATTGTCTTGGTCTTAAAGTATAACAAATAATAAATAACAAACTTACAGAAGCCTTACAAATTAAAACAATCAATCTGTATAAACAAAATATCATCATAACTTAATTATGAGTTATGGTGCCAGTTATGAACTTACTACCATGCATTGAAAAAGTGTTGACAATTAACTATATGACACGACTAACAATATATTACTTTTTAAATAATTTTCTTTGCGTGTTTGATAAATGTGGTTTGTTTAATACGTTAGCTATTTTTAGTAATTCAGTTTCAGGAGTTCTTCTCGAGGGTCGATGGTGGGAAGCGAGGGTCGAAAAATCATATATAAAAAGTCGAGGGTATATAAAAAGTCCGGGGTCGTATTTCTAAAATATTTTATGGTTTTTATTGTCGAGGGTAGAAATTTGCGGGCATTCCCTATAGATAAATTTGCAAGTGGGGCAAGCACGATAGCGAAAACAATACTTTGATCATGAAGATGGCGTCGCGAACCCGGAAAAGGCGTATGGCAATGGAAAGGTGTAAACAAGTCCTGATTACTCTGATTCAATAGACCATATAGTGAATAGACTACTGATACAATAATTTGCGACATGCAATCCGAGACCAGACACAGTACTAAAATGCGGTGCCCGCCTACAAATAAAACTTTCGGCGTTTCCGCCTACATGCACAAGTAAAGTTATATTTAGCACGCTATACATTCTCCTGTCGGCCGCCAGTTGGTCCGTACGTTAGGATCAAAACTGCGTTTTAAAGCCTTCAAAATAAAATATTTTGGGCTCGAAATACTATCAAAATGTGGAGAAAAGTGAGACGAATCCACTGGCATACGGCCGAAAACGAGAAAACCGACAATTCCGAAGTTATCAAGGATCAAACGGACTGCATTTTTAATTAGTTTAATAATTTTGAGCGATTTGTGAACAATACAATTTCGCTTGTCTTTCAAAGGCCATAAATCGCTAGAATACTGTAGTTTAGTAATACATTTGACTTCTGTGAGTATAATTTCTTACACTGAATCGAATGGTGGTATTTTTGTCCTTATTGCGCGCATAAAACCAGAGATAAGTCGCAGCAAAAAGTCAATCGTGAAAGTTTGAGATTAATTCGAAAGAAAACTTTCCTCGAAAAAAGGAATTCGGAAAACGTGAAGGATTATTTTGAGCGGCTTTTGTCTTTCAAAGGCGACAAATCGCTAGAATAGAAGTCAATTTTGAAATCAATTTTCCATCCGTAAACACAACTGTTCACGCTGATTCGAACAGTGGTATTTTTGTCCTTGTTTGACGCATAAAACCAGAGATAAAGCTGAGCAAACAGTCGATCATCATGAGAGTACACGATTAATAATAATTAGTATAATTACATAGGTTATTATTGAAAATTCTCCACGCTGATTGGTTGCCGTTGAGGTGATTATTACGCGATAATCACCTAAGCGATTTTCAAAATGGCGGCCGAAGCCTTTTTGTCAATTAAATGACAAAGAAATGTGTACTTTCTTATTTTTTTCCATATAATCACCTATGAAATTATACTAAAGCAATTATTCACCTCAGGCTCGGTGATTATCGTGAATAAAAACCTCGACTTCGTCTCGGTTTTTATTCACCGATAATCACCTCGCCTTCGGCGAATAATTGTTAATTAATAAATTCATAAATTCCGAGCACGTGCAAGGAATTTTTTGTAGGCGATTAAGGAAACGTATTGATGCGAACAAACTAACAAACGGACAAACTAACGGACTAACAAACTCACAGGCAGAATATAATGCGGTGCCAAACTTTGGACACCGCAATAACGCAGATAATGCACCACCCGTTTGAAACTATGTCGACTGTAGCTTTTGATCGGCATGTCTATTTTTATGTAGTAATATTTTGTCATATAAAAAGTAATCGCATATAAAAAAATAATAATTGCATATAAAAATAAGAGCTAAAAATTAAAAGTAAAGTAAGTGAACACGAACTTAAATTATTATTTTGTTAAATTATTAAAATGTACCCTCAAGCTTTTCACCCTCGAATTTCTACCCTCGACAATAAAAAAAAACATAAAATATTTGTAAAATACGGCCTCCGACTTATTATATACGACTCGAAAAAACACTTTTAAATAGAACTTTTAATAAAGAACTAGATAGCTTTTATTAGAGATAATCAGTGTCACAATGTCCTTTTATTTTTATGTTATAAAATATTATGATCATTGCATATGTTTTTAGTCACCTGGTCAAGTGGTACGCTGTAGTTCTCCTACTTTTCCAACTTTAAGAGGCTGTCTCCGTAAAAACCTCCAGGTTAATATGGGACTCAAAAATAGATTTCTCTCATACTCTAGTATTTTGAAGATCTATCCTTGGCAACAACTAAAATCGATCTCATTTTACTCAAAATTCCTTTAAAATATTTTGGGGGGCGATTGATGTTCGATCGGCTGGTAACCAACTTGAACTCCGAATGAAGGCAAAATATTGACATATTTTCAGCGCTATTTTTTAAATCAAATTCATACCTAAATTTCAAAATTTTTGCTCAGAAATATAGACTTATCCTTCTATTTTCGTTAGTGATATGACTTAGATAATTATTCTTTGGTATAAAATAGAAAACAGCGCAGTTATTGACCCTGTTGAACGGATAACGGATATCGTCTCAAAATATATCAACTTTGAAAGCTTATTTCAAAATCGTGGCACTTGATTGGCACATGACTTTAACTTTATTATAAACTACTAACATTAGTCAACACAAATCGGCAATAATATCTTTCTGCTTTACCATTTGACAAAAATGACAAGCGCCCAAAGTTTGTAAAATTTGAAAATGTGTCGAAATCTAGCATACTTTATCGGTAAACCTAATTATTGATATTAACAGATAAAATCACCTTACACTACACTGACTGAAGCTTGATTATGTAAATATATGTCTTTCATCATTATTCTTTGGTTTGGCACTTGAATCAAATTGTTTGAGTACAGTTTTGCTTCACGGATAGAGTCATTCAATGCCAGTGTGTCCAGTGTCTTTGCGGGCCTCAATGCTATCAGAGTCCTGATTGTGACATACGAACGTCGCTCTGTTCACCTCCTGTTAATAAAATGTCTATGTGTCTCAGGGGTTTATTAACAATGTTCAAAGAAATTAGAAAACTCAGAATTAGTCATAGTGCAGACAGAATTTTCATCGGTTTGTTTACGTTAAACTGTTACATAAAGTTTCGTCTCGGGGAAAACCCCTAGCCGAAAGAAATGTACTCGCTGTGATAGAAATGTCAATATTTCGTTAGTTTCGTTCAGGATATAGTTTCTAGGCAACTGAAATGTCTCTGGGTTTAGAAACAATTATTAATGAAACTAGAATTCAAATCAGTCACTGTTTTGTATAAAAAATATCTACTTTTCCAGGCCAACCCTGGATCATTTTGCTCAAGGCCAAGCTTCAAGAATAACTATTTCTCATTGTCATTGTCATTGTCATTGTCATAATTGTCATTGTAGATAATATTATATTTAATGATGTTCCTTTAGTTCCAAATTTTCTGAAAGTAGTAAAGGATTTACCTTGAAAAATGTTTATACTTGAGAGCATTCGCATTTTGAAATAGTTTCCGCAAGCTTTCCAATAAGGTCACTTTTTCTGTCTTTCGACTTAAATGGTATCTCGAGATGAGAAAAAATGTTTTTAAGCATTGTAACATTAAATGTGTTCAATTTATCCTCTAGGTGGAGTTGACAAAGGTCAAAGGCGTCATACGTTATGGGGTGTTTTAAACCAATTTCGTCATTGACAGCGTCAATGAGGTCATTTCGTTCCGAATCCTCTATTATCTATCTGCTAAGTTTTCTGCGCGATGCGACAAGTCGAGAGAAGAAGCTCTTGATTTGGGTTTTAGTTAACCACTCATTCCGTTTAAATCGACGCTGATTTGATGAATCTCTGGAATTTCTCATGTCTCTTTCAACCTCGGCAGGATCGGCTTTACGACCAGTTTTTTCACCAATCACAAACAGTGTTGTAAGGTAATCTTTAACAGCAGGTGAGAATCGTGTATTTCCAGAGTGTTTTTTCAGTGCCCAGCCCTTCTCAAGCGTTTCTGCTTTGTCACTCTTGTTGTCGACAAGAGGTGGGATCGTTGTTTCGCTAGAAGAATCTTGCAACACATCCACAGACTGAAACTTAGTAGCCCAATCTTTTCTGATTGTGTCGTAAACGCTACGTTTGGCCACTTGAATGTGCTTGCCGACATCAAGGTGTTTCTCCAACATTTCGCATGAATCAAAGATCTGAGTACAACCTGGCACGTTGCATTCAAATAGACACGGAGATGCATTTTCCTTCTCTGTTGTTACAGATTTCTTGTTCTTCAAGTCGCGCTCTCTCACTGCTGATTCAAAGAAGTCCTCTTTTGTTTCAAGCTGAGTCGGTCCCTGTTGTGTCACATACATACTACTATAAGGAAACGATTTACCTTGTCCGATAGTGTATGCTTTCCATGCTTTAACACCAGAATCATCAAATTTGAAATTATGATAGCTGCTAAATTGTGACAGTTTCTTCATCAATAGGGCTTGCTTTGATTCGTCAACGACATTGACTGAAGCAGTCGTTCCTTTGACTGGACGGCGCTGCAAAGCATCTCTCATATCAGTAGCGGTTAGGATATCGTGACCTTCACAACAATACGTTCGTATCGAGGTCTTCAATGGGCAAATAATTCTGTCGCAAATGTCCTTTCCACTGTGAGGCTCGGAATAGTCATATCTCTCAATAGTAATGCCAACTCTTTTCCCAATGTCCTTCATAGCACCGATCAAATTGTTGTTGTGGTAACATCCAGCCTCGTCAGATCGTAAGTAAGCTTTGCACAGCAAGGGATTTTGGTTTTTCAAGTACTGAAAGAGATTTTCAATTATCGAAGCTACAGCATACCAATCCTGGGTGCATTTGTTAAAGAGGTGAGCATAAGAGGTAACTCTGAGTTTGCCTGATTCTTCGTCGCGGAAAACTACACTACTAATATGCCAACTAAGACCTCTTTTACCGTACCACTCGCTCTGCTTTTCGCGGTATCTCAGTTGAAGAAATTTCATAGCCCAATCCATCAAGATTAGGACTGAGCTACTGTCCAGTGCGTCCATGATATCTTGCTTGGCACGTTCTTGATTAGCTGTACGCATAATGTGTGCCTTCCACTCCTTAATTGAGCTGACAGCTTTCTCAAAATCATAGAGTAAATCTTCTTTCTGCTCCTTGCTATAGTAGTTAGTACTGTCGCTATTTAGAGAGTCCTTTATTTCACAAAGAGAAACCTTCATATCATTACACAGGTGACAATCGACTGTGTGCACATGACTACATTGTTCGATCCTGCAGCTGTGGGTCTGTAGGATCACTTAAAGAAAACTTCCGGCAATGGTCGCTACACTTGTTTTCATCTTCCTGGCAGTGGTAACGATACTGAGTTTTCAAATATCGTTTCCCATCTTGAAGAGACTTCTTCATGTTTGTAGACCAAGATTTATCTTTCCCGAGTCGATGAAGTTCGTCAACAATTTCTAGCAACTTCGCAAACCCAGATGATCCATCAGCAGCTGTGTCGTCTACGCCAGACAATGACTTTTGTTGTGATGCTTCTCGAACACTTAGAATGCGGAAAAGTGTAGCACGACTCAAGGGTTTCACTCCCTGTTCACCACAAAAATGTAGGTACTGACTTACCATGGTCGAGCGTGTAACGGTTCGAATGACGTTAGGCATGGTAATTTCGTCACCATCACCAAGTTTTAGTTTCCGCGTGCCAAATGCCACATCTTGATGGAAATAGGGTCTATTTACAAAGTCAATGAAATGGCTCAATAATGCTTCTGGAAGGCGTATACGGTGCGACGATACTTTGCTAACCGTGAAACCAGCTCCATGTTCCTTGGCATGTCGTCTTGCTTTTCTTATTTGCCATTCGGTGATGTTTTCATAAGGTTCGTGCAGTTCCTGGAGCCTTTTCATAGGATATTTACAGACATAAAGGCTTAGAATTTGCGTTTTCAGAGTTTTCGTTGGTGCGTTTTTGTAAGCTTGCATAAGAGCTTGAAGTTCACTGGAAGGACTTTCACTATTGATACTGTGGGTACATGCTTGTAAGAGTTCATCTTTTGCATTAGGTGCAATAACACTACATACAACCTTACATCCTTCAATGGCTTTTTCCACGCACACTTTTTTTTCACTCTCAGTAGCTTCGTTCCATGTTGCTTTTAACTGGAAGTCTAACGAAGTGGCTTGTTCCACCTTGACGTCCTTTGAAAGTGCAGCCATCGCTTCATTGTATATTGGTACGAACGACGTTGTTTCTGGATCTTCTGTTTGATCGTCTTCTTGAAAGCTGCCTTGAGCAAACCAATGGCTGGGTGTCCATTCTTGTTCCTTGATTGATTCGAGGCACTGAAATGCAGCTGGAGTGCAAGGAGTAGAACTCTCCAAACGTACTGCAGCCAATCGCTTGGTAAGTCTAAAATATTGTATAAATGTCACCTGAAGATTCTTTCACTGCATGGGGCTGTTGTGGCAACATTGAGATTTATATATGTACATATATGTAGCATACAATATGAAGGCCACTCTTTTTACTTGTTGGACTACGGATTTTACTTAACAAAAATGAGAGGTTGGTAGATGAAAGAAATTGGGGAAAATGTCGGGTTCACACGATTCATGCGCACGGTCACGTGACATAGCTATGCATGAAAATTCCGTGTTAAGGGTATAGCCTAACTTTCTTCTTACCCAATGTCACTGCTGTTCATTTTATATTTCTGGGCCTTTCGCGTGGAAAGACTTACTGATATTTCCTGAAATATTGTTGATTGAGAAAAGAACTGCCCACGAATTGAAAGCAGCATTTTTTATTAGAAAAATATAGTCGAAAATGACGGGAAATCCGTAATCCAAAAAAATGTTATGGCCTATAAGGAGTGGCAGGCTTAGTGACGGTCGGTACGGCAGTGTAGTGATAAAACACCTTCTACTACACATGAACTAAATATCATCAAGAAAAACTGAAATGTAACAGCAGAGAATCTTATTATTCCTTCACACCTTGATTCGTCGTTTTTTTCCCCTGCTACTTCGCCTTGACTGGTCTGACCGGTGCTGGTGGCCATTTCCGTTTTCAGTTTCTTCAAACACGGAGTGCATATCGCTGTAGAAAAGAATTGTTTCGCCTTATTTATTATTTACACCGGCTACGCCGATTAGTTTCTTGACAACAAAACAGAGCGCCATATGTACCATATATAGAATAGTTGTAAATTTTTAATACCATAATTATGTAGAATAGTTGTAAACTACGAAAGATTTAAAAAGTTTTAAAGTAAAAAAAGAAAATGGGAAGCAAAATAATATGCAAATCCGGTCATACTACCTAAATGAGATTTTTACGTAGTATTTACTATTTACAACCAAACCAGCCTTGCTTTTCCTAGGCTGATTTGCAACATAGTCATAGCTCATCCGAAGCATTTTTTAACTTCGATTAATTTAAAAATTCTCATTAGGTTAACATGCTCAACTTTGCTAGTCAATTTCACTGCAACAAAACAACATTGTTTGAAAATTAAATTTTCCGTGTTTCTACATGGCGCAGTTAACACAGTAACACGCTTCTCGACCAATTAAAACCAAAAATTAAATATTTTATTGTAATCAAATTCGAAGTGTTTTAATGATTTGCTCACCTGATCCAATTGAAACTGTTGCACCAAATTGAAGCTGGATTTTTTTCGACATTTCTAGATTAACAACATCCTTGTATTTTTGTATTTGCACGCTTTTATGGGCCTCGAATGCAAAGGATACTGACAAGATTTTAATGGCCGCCAATTTCGACCCAGATTGTACCTGTGTTTCGGACAGATCCACATTTCGTGTTGCTCCTTCGTAGGTGTATAAAACATTCCTGCCCTCGCTAGAATTAACTCGTATTCTTCTATCTTTCCGACAAGCTTTGAAAGGTGACAACTCTGCAAGTGAAAACTAATATCATCCTTACACTCCAGCAACTTCGCAGAACAGTCTACTGTGTCTCGGAATTTTCCACACTCGGAAGTAGAAAAGGAACATTTATACATTATTGCTTGCTTTAAATTCCGACCGTTATTCAACATAAAATCTACTATCTGCCGAAATCGTTTAGGTTTACCTAACGTTGCAGAGGAGGAATGAGGGTCTTCCCACAATGCATTGCGTCTCATTATTATTCACAATTACGATTTTCAACGAACGTTTGGCGAAAAATTGTTGAAATACTTTACGATTTTGGCTTCGTATATCTCGTTTTTTCGAAGGTATGTTTTTATATTTGTATTATTTAAGAACCTAATTAAACTATTTTTGACTTATTTGGTACAGGAATTGCTTTTTAGTTATGCTAATTACGTATTGTAGTTATGCTTGTTCCGGGTCAGTGGACACGCCAATAAAATGACCTTGATATAATGCAGAAGCAAATTCACTTTTTTTTTAGGAAAATAAAAACAAAACACGTCATCGAATTCGGGAAGATTTATTCTTTCTACTGTTACTTTAAAACATGAATTTGCTCCACTAAACCGACGAGTAATCGCGGTTTGAAAATGGGGTACTTTTGCTATATTCTATCGCCGATGGCGGGAATAGACCGCCTGATAATCATCATGGCGCGAAGAAAATTATTATACTATAAACACTATTTTCCATGATAATTTTGAAACATACGCATATATGTTCGTACATATTTCCCCCAGGGAAACCTAATAATGAAAGACACAGAATTTCTCGTTTGAAAAATTCAACATCAAGCCGAACTTTGTTTCAGAGTCCAAAGCCAAGGTGTATTTAAAAGTACAAATCTTTTTACAAACATTAAAAATACAGTATGATTACACAAAAACATTGTATATTTTTAATGAAACAATATGTTAATAATGGGGGCTTGAGTTATTATCATAGTGACAGTAACATTGTATTTTAATGCTTTTTTGCCTGGGAGAATTTCTGTCCATAGGCATATGAGGCTGGGGGGGGGGGTTGCAACCCCTCCAGTCAGTGTTTAGTTGGGCAGAATTCTGCTTTAAAAATTGGGCAATTGTTTTAAGATTGACTTTAAACAGTATTTCTGCTAGTCTGTATAGGAGATGTATTCCTTCTATTTTATACCTCTTGTTCACAAACTCATGACAATGTTGGGCAATTTCTATCCACCCGTACGCCAACATTATTTTTCAATGCTGCGCATTCCAGGAAACCTATAGTACACAAATTTCCTGGAGAAGCATGCGCACAATCCTGGTAAAAATCCATGAGTTTCTTTGTCGTTGTCTAATTGTGCTGGCACTAACATTGCCCCTCTCACTTTTGCTGTTTGTTTTGTAGTTTCTTATCAGAAAGACTCTTATCACGACTCCTCCAAAGAAATTCCCAGTTAAACTTCATAAATGGACATTTGAGGAAGATAAAGCATTCATTGAATTCATATCTGTTGCAGAAAATCATGCAAATCATTACGATTGAAGAGGTTTACCAATTATGTAATACCTCTAGATTGTTTTAATACATCATTAAGCTAGAGCGAAAGCATCACCTTTCATATACTTTATCATATAGCATTCATGTGTACTGGTGAAATGAATGTGTGCAATATTTTAAAATTGTGTGCATAAAATTTTATTTTTAAAAACATTTTAATTATCTTTAAGTACAGCAATATTATGTTAATATTTTTTCGATTTTAAAATAAATAAATTTTATCAACATCAATTATGTAGTGTGTGATCTTTTTATTAATTTGTGATGAGCAAGGGAAGACTATACACTGAAAATCATGAAAACCATACATACCATAAACCTCTGAATATAAGCCCCCCTCCCAGTGTATAAGCCCCCCCCCCTTGTGTAAGCCCATCAAAAATTGCTTATGAAAGAATATAAGCCCAGTGCTTTTAGGTGGAGGTTTACGGTAGATTGTCAAAAAACTGCAGAACTGATAAGATGGTGTCCATGGGATACAATACTTATGGTATAATGGGTCATTCCAGAAAACATCCATACCATCCCCACAAAGGAAATAGGAAGTTAACCCCCCCTACCCCCTTTGGATGTCCTAATACATTTACTATTATCAGAAACAAATTTTTCTCTTCCCCCCCCCCCTCCCCTCCGGACGGCAGAACTTTCCTCCGTGGGGGGAGTATGGATCTTTTCTGGAACAACCCGCAGTACAGGAAAACCGGGGTAGGGCCAAGACTGTACCACTACGGGTTCCCCACCTGTATCCTTACAAAAAAAAAGAAATGTCAGTATTACACCAGACACCAATATACAATTTTGCAGCTTCTGCTAAACATTTTCTTTCAATGTTTTTTAACCCATTGAGTATTGGAGTGTCAGTACTCTCCCCCTGATGAGTAAATAGTCTAGTGTTAGACAGTAAAATGATCTGGCGTTAGGCAGAGTGAAATAATAGACAACTGGTTGATCATTTAAGCATAGATAACTGGTTGATCAGTATAAATCCTTGCAATGCATCACACAGTAGTCAATACATTTATATATAGTGTCATGATAGTGCTGAATCGCCTCCATTTCATTCTCTACAATGCTATCACTGGGTGCTTCTTCCATCATTTGGTGTGCATGAATGTGTGTCAGGGCAAACAGGATTTATTGGTAAATTAAAACAGCTACAATCAGTTGGCTGATGTAATTCTATTGGTGGAAGTACACTATCCCAACTCATCATCTTGACTATTTGGGATGTTGGTGATGTTGAAATGTCAAACTCCCAACAACATTATATTGTTATATTCTTCGTTTATACCTCCTTCCTGTGGATCATTAGGGTCGAAGAACTACATGATATGAAATAAAAATACGTTTTTAATAATACTGCTGTATTTTTAATACAACATAGGAGGATTTTTCTATTTTTAGGATGAATTTATTTTTTAAAAATCATCTCACCTTAAAAGCACAACTAGAATGAATTTGTACCAGTGCAGGACTACCGCAATCAGCGAACAAATTCATCAATTTTTATCCCGTTAACCACAGCTGGACAAAGGACTATTCATCGAACTATCCATAGAACTATAAACATGAACCTCACGACATACAAGTTCATCACACGGTAATCCTTCCGAAATTAAGATTAAAGGCTGTTTTGACACACAGTGAACACACCTCAGAACACACAGAAGCTCGTGTCCACCCAAAAACGAAGCTTTCTTTCCATGCATAGTGCAAAAATTCACCATTTTACAATTTTTTTTCTATAAATCTTTTCTGAATCTCTTGAAACCTCGAGGTGTAAACACAGCGAAAGCCGACCGAACAATGACGGCGCAGAGCGAGAAATCGATAATATGTAAAAAACCGCGCCTGACCGCGTTGCATGCCGGTATAGTCCTCACTCCTCCTCTGAGAAGCAGCCATAGGACCTCTCTGTTATCTTCTTCTAAATTTTTTAGACATGTAGCTAATACACCCCCTCCTGGTGTAAGTCGGTCGCGCCGATAGGTATTGAACATTCTTCCAATGCTTATAGCAGAGTCGGGTATATTTGTATTCAGCCAAGACTCTGTAATCATAATCAAGGAGAGGTGCCTGTATTAGAGAGGTGTCTGTATTAGAGAAGTGTCTGTATTAGAGAAGTGTCTGTATTCGAGAGGTGTCTGTATTAGAGAGCTGTATTAGAGAGGATATGATAGTCATTTTAACAACTTCCGGAAACTTACTGTAAGCGTCAACTACCACCAGATACATTTTCCCAGCAATAGGCCCAGCAAAGTCGATATGAATGCGAGACCAAGGCTGTGATGGAAAAGTCCAGGGATGTACTGGCGCTTTTGCTGGCTCTGATCACATTTTCTGGCAAACAGGGCAAGTGGACACAGTCTGTTCAATGCCAGAATCAATCTTTGGCCACCAGACATAAGACCTCGCAAGCCCTTTCATTCTTGTCATGCCCGGATGGGTGTCATGTAATTCGGTTAGCATTTCACTTCGAAGAGATGGAGGAACAACAACCCGAGCTCCCCAAAGGATGCATCCTTGATGAATCGTTAGTTGATCACTTCTGTTTTTGTACGGAATCATATCAGCATCAACTACAGAGGGCCAACCACTTTGTATGTATCTATATACTAAAGAAAGAACAGGATCCACTTGTGTCTTTTTCTTAATCATTTCAGCAGTTACATTAGTAACAACACCAGCTTCAAATTTCACTTTTAGGGCACCAAGTTTGTGGTAAAGGTAGACGGGACATGCTGTCAACGTGAGCATGTGCAGTTGTACTTCGGTACTCAATCTTGTAATGGTATGAGGCTAGGATAAGTGCCCATCTTTGTAGTCGTGAAGCCGTGTGGGCTGGAACAGAACAATGTGGTCCCAACAATGTAAGGAGTGGGCGATGATCAGTTAGGATTGTAAATGAATTACCATAGAGATATTGATGAAATCGTTTAAGTCCAAATATTATACTGAAAGCTTCCTTCTCAAGCTGTGAATAATTTCGTTGGGCCTCAGTTAATGTACATGATGCAAATGCTATCGGTTGGTGTTTCCCATTAATGACATGTCACAATACCGCTCCTGTACCATATGAAGAAGCATCACATGATAGAACAAGAGGCAATGATTCATTATAATGTACTAGTGTTCTCGAATTTAGTAAAAGATTTTTAGCTGCTTTGAAAGCTGCGTCTTCTGATTTAGTCCACTTCCAAGATATATTCTTCTTAAGCAGATTATTCAGCGGTGCTAATACAGTGGAATGGTGTGGCATAAATCGTGAGTAAAACATCATAAGTCCTAGGAAAGACTTAAGAGCCGTAGCATCCTTTGGAGGGGGGGGGGGCATCACACACAGCTGCCAGTTTGTCTTCAGTTGGATGGAGGCCAGCACTATCGATTAGATGACCTAGATACACCACAGAAGACTGGAGAAATTTGCACTTAGATTTGTTTAACTTGAAACCAAACTTCAGCAATCTTTCTAGCACTTGGGAAAAAGTATTCAGATGATCTTCATAATCAGTTCCAGCAATAAGAATGTCATCCAATCTGCTAACAGCTTTCGGAATATCTGCTAATAATCCATCCATAATTCTCTGAAATATAGCAGGACCTGAATGAATCCCGTTAGGCAATCTTTTAAAAGCAAAGAGACCCAGATGGGTGTTGATGGTAAGATACTTCTGAGACTCAGTTGAAATGGGAATTTGATGATAAGCTTGCTTCAGGTCTAATACACTGAATACTTGACAGGCCCTCAATGCAGAATGCATATCTTCTATTTTAGGCATTGGATAAGTCTCAACTTCAGCACATGCATTATAAATAACACCACAAACTCGAACTTCATCACCGTCCTTTTTGCCCACCGTAACAATAGGGGCAGCACTAACAGCAGAAGAAACCCTCTCAATGACACCATCTTTTTCCATTTTTAGTAGAGCACTTTCAACTCTTGTCTGTATTGCATACGGAACTGGACGTGCTTTATGGAATTTAGCTCCCTTACTTTCATTGAGAACTACAGCATCACCAGTGTAACACCCAATTTGAGGTTGAAACGGTTCATCATATTTTGATAGGAGTGAGTCCAATGTATTCTTATTTTCAGAAATCTTGGAGCATATAGCTGTGGTAGTAAATGACGGTAACTCAATTCCAGGCAAATTGTTCCAATCTAGCTTTATACACCTTAGCCAGTTTCTTCCAAATAAGACACCAGAGCCCTGTGGTACTACCAGTAATGGAAGAGAGTGCTGAGTTCCAGCATAAGTAACATTAACATTGATTTGTCCCAAAGGTTGAATCTTTTCACCGGTATAGGAAGATAATCTCACTGCGGTAGGTTTTAAAGGGATATGGGAACAAAATTGCTCATAGAAGGTTTGGGGGGCCAAGGACAATGCACAACCAGTATCTAATTGTAAGGAACGCTCTTGATTCTCAATTTTCAAGGGTACGGAAATTTCTGATTTGTATAGGGAGTTAACATCAAAAACCGTAAATAATTCTTCCTCAAGAAACACATCATCTGAACTCAGTTTCTGTTCGACAAAGTTATTTTGCATGTTACTTCTCTTGCAAACACGGGCAATGTGACCAGTCCGCTTACATCGGCTGCATACAACATTTCTAAATCTACACTGGGCCCGAGAATGTTCTGTACCTCCACAGGAATAACAGGCATATGAAAATTTCTGGGCGGTAGGCAATGGTGGTCTTAGGTTATTGGAATTTGATGTATCCCTGCTATTTGAAAACTTATCAGGAATTTGATTTCTACCCACAGTATGCACAGATTCGTTCACTGGTTTCGTATTGTTTTGAAATGCTAAAGTCTCCTTCTAGCAACTTCATCAGCTATGGCCACTTTTAACACATCTTGAAAAGTACGGTCTTCATTTAGTAACTTTTTCCGAGTAGCTGAATTACGAATTCCGCATATAAATTGATCACGCAGAGAACGGTTTAAGAACTGACCAAAGTCACAAGTGGAAGCATAATGTCGCAAACGTGCACTGTAATCAGACACATTTTCATTTTCTTCTTGAATACACCGATGAAATCTATAAGTTTCAGCTACAACCAAACGTTTCGGTTTGTAATGAGTACGTAACATTTCACAAAGCTCAGAAAAACTTTTATCTTTCGGTGAATCAGGACTGCACAAATCACGAAGGGTTGCGTAAGATTTCTTTCCAATAACTGAAATAAATACCGCGAATTTTTCTTGTCTGCAGCCGCAAGTACTTCTTGTGTAGCATCAGCAGGACATTGCCCGATAGAATTAGCGATAAAATATTGCTCTAATCTCTCCGAATATGCAGTAAACAACTCGGTAGACGGATCAAATTCCCCAGAAGGCCGAATAATGGCGTCGAAGACATACTATTAAATTGTACTCGTACAGAACTAAAATCAACTAAATTACCGTTTCAAACTCGTTCGTTCAGCAAGAAAATATACCAGAATCCTTTATTGAAATCCCATGCTTGTCGCCAATTGTTATATCCTCAGAAATGCACTGTTATACAACTCAAACTCAACTTTTAATGTCCTAAGTCAACTGAATAACAACCTTTGCTTTATCGCTCTTGCACATGTTTCTAAAACCCCCAAAGCGCATGCGCAATATATCACACTTAGCTTGAGGAACCTTGTCCTCAGCGTGGAGAACCTTGTTCTCAGCGTGGGGAACCTTGTCCTCAGCGTGAGGAACCTTGTCCTTAGCGAGTAGAACCTTGTCCTCAGCGCGAGGAGCCTTCAGCGTGAACAACCTCTCAAGTTGCTGCGTCCGGAACCCTATCCTCAGCGTGAGGAACCTTGTGCTCAGCGTGAGGAACCTTGTCCTCAGCGTGAGGAACCTTGTCCTCAGCGTGGGGAACCTTGTACTCAACGTCGGGAACTTTGTCCTCAGCGTGGGGAACCTTGTCCTCAGCGTGAGGAACCTTGTCCTCAGCGTGAGGAACCTTGTCCTCAGCGTGAGGAACCTTG